CGCGGCAAATGAGGCCACCGTTGCTTTTATCTCCCTGCCCCCGTCCACCACCTGAGCACTCCTTCTTTCGGAGTCGACAAGCCCACTCTATTTACCGCCTGCTTCGAGAGAGCGCCTCCGTTCCGAGCGTCTTTCATGTTAAGCGATCTGGGACAGACTCTGCTCCACAGTTTGCTCATTGTGCCGGCTGCGTCTGCTTGTCAGGACGCATCATTATTTCAAGCTGGAGTGCCGGATGTGGATCTTGAGGGTGGTGCATATATTGATCTTGGAAGGAGTAAAGCAAAGTCTAGAACAAAAAGACCTCTTGTTCTGGAATCTCTGCAGGCAAGACCGGTCAATGAATGCTCAGAAAAGGGGTTGCGTTTCACACATTAACACAGTTCTCCCAGTGGTCCTTGTAGATCAGCTAGCCCAGTGGTCCCCAAACTTGGGCCTCCAGATGTTCTTGGACTTCATCTCCAAGAAATCCTGGCCAGCAGAGGTGGTGGTGAAGGCTTCTGGGAGTTGTAGTCCAAGAACATCTGGAGGCCCAAGGTTGGGGACCACTGGGCTAGACGATCGGGGTCATCACTGCTGGAGCCAGGATGGGCGGATCATAAGAAGAATCCTGAACGGAAGAAGATAATTTATTCCTTCCAGTCCAACAGTCGGCTTTTCTCAATACTTCCAGCAAGTTGATGAAAAGGTCACAAAAGCAACAGCTGTCCTTGCTGGGTTTTTCCCCATGAACACGGTCGGGTTATTATCATCTTTGAGATACCTTTGGGTTCCATGAGTCATAGCCAGCATTGCTGTGGTGTAGGATCCTGAGAACGACAGTCTAAAAAAACATTTTTCAAGGCCACTTTTCTCCACAGTTGACTGGAGAAATTTTTAGCTTCATTGTTGTCACCGCTGATATTGTTAAGTGCTCTCAAGTCACTTCAGACTTTTAGTGTCTAGTAGTGTTTTCAAGGGAGGTGAGATGATCAAGGCCTGGTTTATCATTGCTGCCCTGCAGTGAAGTGCTATGGTTGAGTGGGGATTTGAACTCAGTTCTCTTGAGTAAAGATGGACACAAAATGAACCATGAAGTTAAAAAAAAAACAACCCATGAATTGGGCTATTTCATTTCATGGCACATCGGGGAAACGTGACTGTCCAGAATGAAATGAAACACAAACATTATAATCCAGCTGCTAAAAAGCAATTTCCTATGGGACCTGCTTTGGAGAACTATAACTCAGAGATCCTAAATCCAATCTATGAAAAATTTGGCAGGGGTAAGGAAAAGAGTCAGCTGACATTTTGTTGTGAGTTTGGCATCCCTGACTCATGAGGAGGCCATTCTGGTTCTCCTGGAAATTCAGAATCCCACAAACCACAAAACAATTTGTTTCATCAGAAACTTCACGATTTGTGGTTTGTAGGTAAGTGACCACCATGAACCACTATTTTCCTTGTTCATGCCCATCTCTACTCTTAATCTGAGGCTCTATCCACTGCACCACACTGTCTTGACACTTAGCCTTTGGCTAATAATATAGGCAGAATGAGTCTACTCCACTTCCTCTCCTTTCCCCCAATGATCAACCAGATACGACTTGAGAGCCCTTCTTAACTCAACCAATCCCATCTGATTCCAAGGGCTCATCAGGGTGAAGTCTGATTAGGACATGGATGGGACACTACCAGGAAGTGCCATGGGGTATCTAGGCAGAGCTAGGCTGACAATAGAAGCTTCTTCATGTTCCAATGAATGCAGAGATACCATCATGTTGATTATTTTACACTTACGTTCCACTGATTTCTTTATGTTGAGTCAGACTCTTGGTATTGTCCATTTTGGCTGGAAGTTCTCCAGGCTTCACGCAGGATTCCTTCCAAGCCCTACCTGGGAATGAACTAAGGATGGAACCAACTGCATGCAAATCATATGCTCTTCAACTGAGCCACCAGTGACTTCTCCGCCTTCAATGTCTGCTAGCAGTTCTTCAAGGCGGTCACCTTCTGCCCTTGTTTTCCTCCCTATAAATTGCTCTTCTGAGTAACAGATGGCACTTATTAACAAGGAGGCCCCTTTCAACCTCATGGTTCGTGGGAAGGGGCTTATTTTGTAGCAAAACCAAGTCGCGCTTATTTTAGCCCCGTTTCAAAGATCCAGTGGGAAGCCTGTGAAGAAGCAATGCTCGTTTCTAGGCAAACATATGCTTTGTTCTAAAAAAAGACATTTTGGCAGCTTCCCATCCATTCATTTGCAAACATTATCATATGCCAGTTTATCAGCTTCCATAATTCTTCTTGCTGAAAATATGGCTTGAGTTCTCCAGACTCAGCCACCTCTCGGCGACCATAGCTGTCCTGCTTCCTTTTTAATGGAAAGGACACCAGCACGGTAGGAAGCCATGCTGGCATCTTCTGCCTTGAAGATGGCAGCTGGGCCAGATCCAGACTTGAAGATGTGGCTGGACTCCAACTCCCAGTATTTCTCCGTATTGCCTGTGTTGGCTAGCGTTGATGGGCATTGAGGTTCGGCAACTTCTGGAGAGATTCAAGCTGTATATCTCTGTGATCAACAAAGCCTTGTGCTTTGGCAGTAGTTATGTGCCTTTAAGTCAATTCCAACTTATGGTGACACTAGTAGAGTTTTTAAAGTAAGTGGGATATTTAAAGAATATTTCAACTTTGCTATTCCACCCAGTAATTTTCCCATGGCTGTGTGGGGATTTGAACCCCGGTCTCCTGCATCCTAGCCCAGCACTCTGTCCACTACACCCCATTGGCAGCTCATTGGACCTCCATTTTCCCACTGTGGGTAAAGTGCAGCCATCCGGAGGTTGTGCTGAACTGTATCATCCAGCACTTCTCTCCACTGGCCATGCGGTCTAGAATGGATGGAAGCCAAAGTTCAACCACCTCTGGAAGGCTCTGTGTTGCCCACCCCAGCTTTATCCTGAAAGCAATTGACTTGATAAATGTATATCCAGTCTGTCCTCCTTTTCACTTATCTTCAGAATAATTTTGTGAGATTGATCAATCTTAGAGAATCTGACGTGCCCACAGTTACTCCATGAATCTCCTGACTCAGTGGGGGATAAATTCTAGATCCCAATGTCCCACTTTAACACTCTAACTAGTGCACCACAAAAACACAGTTGGCTTCTCCGCCTTAGCAATTTTGTTCCTTTCATTGCAGGGTGACCTTCCAGTATGAAGGTGTAAAATCTTGTGCATTTGTTCAGAGGGAAGGTGGAGGTGTTGAAGGACAGACTGGAAGACTATTAGGGAACCATCTGCCATCCATCTAGGGTTGCAGACTTACAGTGTGCAAGAGTGGTAGGGTCCAGAATCACATACCTTCTTCAGAAGATCCTATCCTCATGAAAACTGTACACCTGCTTTCACAAGTTAGGTGTCTAAAACATCAGGTTCCTTTTTAATAGGAAGAGAAAAATGGAGATATGAAGAAATACTGTATTTTTCCATGTATAAGACTATACGTTTGTCTAAAATCTTTAGATGAAAAGTTGAGGCCTGTCTTATGCACGGAAGTAAGCTGAGGAGAGAACAAAAACAAGTGGAGAGGAAAGCAGGGATCAAAGCGATCCTGCATCACTTTGATCCCTTTCCCCTTACACTTGCTAAGCCCCACTTATTTTTCTTAATTTTGGATTAGAAAAATGGGGGGGCGTCTTATACATGGGGGCGTCTTATACATGAAAAATATGGTACTTTGGTAGAGAAAAAGAAAGGACTGTGCAATGAGGAGAAACGATCTTGTCCTATAAATCTACCATTGTGGAGTGCAGGATGTCTGAACAAGTAAGCAGAAACGAGGCAGAGGGAACAGGAGCAAACAAACAGCCTTGCCTGCTTCCAGTTCTCTGCAGTCACACTTCTTCCAAGGTTGCCGCACAGCTGTGTCACTGAGCAGCTGTAGTGTTTAACTCTCCCTGGTTGCTGAGTCTTGCTGGGAGACTGACAAATTTATTAAATGCGATTCTGGCAGCCTTCTGCTGGCAATTTGAGAAATTGGAGAGCCACAGCTGGAAACTTTATTTCTTTTAGAGTTCAGGTTTATTTGCAAACGGTTCATAAATTGAGGCTGATTTTCATCACAATGATTGGGGATGCCTGCCTGTTTGTGTTACGGATCTAGGGATGTTAATCTTTGCTTACTTCGCTCTTGCAGGCAAGCACAAAGAAAAAATAATAATGATTCAGACCTGTTCTCCTTGATGGAAAAACTCACTAGAGCTTTTGTGCAATTTTGCAGTTTCAAGACTTTTTTTTTTGCAACCCCCCCAAAAACCCCACTCCACTTTGCAGCATTTTTAAAAAAGATATTTTTAAATAATACACAATAAGATGACAATAATAAAACAACAAAAAATGGGACATCGATAATAAAGTTCAACTAACCTATCAAAAAGAAACAGAACCTATAACATACATGTTCTGGCCAGCGCTCCCCACCACCTGTGGGACTAATTTACTGATTTATTTTATATTATATTTTGTAGCTGCCCTGTTTCTCTCCAGAAATATAACAATTCTTATCCAGGGGGTATCACCTCTCCCTTTCTCAAACACATTTATAAAAATAAGTTCCATATCCCTTTAAAATAATTTCTTTTTGATATTCCTTTTCTAATCCTAATTTCACATGTCCGTTTATCACGAATGTCCACCTGCCACATTTCTTCATACTATTCCTCCCTATTATTTTGACTAGTCTTCTTTCAGTTCCTTGCAAATATTAATCTTGCCACCGTCTTGGCCAGGCTGTAGTACTCTCTCTCTCTGTGTGTGTGTGTGTGCGTGTGTGCAAGAGAGAAATTAGTTGAGGTGTTTGCCACTGCACACTGTGGATGTGGCAGATTGACAATACATGCTTACACTGACTTCTTCACCTGTGACCATTTGCAGTGCAGAATTCTGCTGGTGGAGTTGTCAGAGTCCCGAAAACTCTTAAATTGGTGGAATCGTCTTGTTTTTTCCTCTCTCCTTCCTTCTAGTGCCGATGAGCGCTTTGATGCGACATTCCATACCAACGTTTTGGTGAACTCTTCTGGATACTGTCAGTATCTCCCTCCAGGTAAGAATTGTTGGGGGGCTTCTGGGAAATAACTGCTGTCAAGACCACCACCGGAGTCCCAGTAGCGGCAAGGGAGAAACATGGCCCTCCGTCTTGTTCCTGCCACAGTGGCTGTCCCCATCATCTCCGCCATGAACAAAGACGAGGGAGAGTTGTATAGTTTGGATTATCTGTGCTGCAGGGAAACTCAAATCCGTAAAGTTTGCCTTCCCACTTGAAGGATATGTTACCAGTTGTCACGGTTCATATTCTGAGCCCTGTTGCTTATGGTGCATGTAGGTATCTTCTTTCACAAGATCATTTCCACATGCAAAATTCATGGAAAAGCATGCATCGGACTTAACTGGACCTCATCATGCGACGCAGTCCTGTCATGACAGACTCAACTAATCTAAGAGAACAGCTGTGGGATTAGCCATTGGGCCCACCCATGGATAAGCCTTTGGGAGGCACAGTACAATGCTTTGAGGTGGTGGAAATGCCTTCGATGTCATTGGTCTATAAAGGAAAAGATCCATAAAAGTGGAATGAAAAGTAGCAGCAAGAACACCTCAAGTGACACATTACACAAGATCAGGGAGGTTCATACTCCTATTTTGTCTTCAGTGTGTTAGAACTGCTTTCAGGCAGATCAGCAGTTTTAAATGTCGGAACCAAAAAATGGATAGTTCTACATGTTAGAAGGCGTCAACCACTGGGAAGTCTCTGTTCATCTCCGTTTTCTGCTGTGTTTCTGTCTAGGAATATTCAAGAGTTCTTGCTCCATCGATGTGCGCTGGTTTCCTTTTGATGTCCAGAACTGCAAACTGAAATTTGGATCCTGGACGTATGGCGGATGGTCCTTGGATCTGCAGATGAAAGAAGCCGAAACGTCTGGGTACATCTCGAATGGCGAGTGGGACTTGGTTGGTAAGCGTTGGGGGATATGCTTGGTCAACAAGGTGACTCCAGTTCAGCATGGAGGTCCGTGGATAATGGGGTGCATTTAGAAGAGCAAACAGTCCAGGCTACCTTAAGTCGCCCCTCTGTTTCTCAGCAGCCACACTTTTCTGTCTGGCAAGGCGCTTCCCCTCAAGCGTTCTTTGGCAATGCAGTTCATCACTGCTGCCACGTTATTCCCGAGAATGCCTGTTTCTTGGGCTACAAAACTGGGGAAGGATTGCAAGGTTTTATTTAAAAACACATAAGGAGAATGTTGGGTAAGAATGGGGAAGGATTTCTTTGTAACCAGTTTGTTATGGTAATTCCCCCCCCCCCAAAATAAAGTTGTGATTATTTTTCATTTTCTGCAGCGAAGAAATTGAGACTTTTTAAAAAAAATGTGGGTGGAACTGAACATGTCAGTTTTGCCCTGGGCCACGGCCTTGAAAACTTCAATTTTCAAGATCTAGATGTGACACCCAGTGTTTGTGGCTATGGAAGTGCTAAATTGGGATTCAGTCCCTCCCTCCTCCCAGTCATTTCTCATCTTTCACACCTGTAAGAAGGCAATTATAGGGTGGTTCTCTGCAGGCCAGGAACAGCTCGCTCTATTGAATCTGCACCACAGCACAGATGGGTGGTGGCTGGGGTGTGTGTACAAATTCATTTTAGATCTTTCTCCGAGAATTTTGCAACCATTTGCCAACTGTGTTTCCAGAATGGAAAGAGCTTTTGGTTTTCAAATTCTGAATGGACCACAAAGTCAAACAGATAGTTCTGCCATTCCCCAGTGAAAGCCCCACCCTGTCATTCCTTTCTCTTTTGTGACTCCGTAAGAAAAATAAAAGTGCTAATCAGGGGAGAGGAACCGGTTCAGGAAAAGAAAAGCTGTGCCGACAGAAATCTCCTTAGATGGAGAGATCACAGACTCTTGATTCCAGTCCTTGTGATTTATTTAGTGGGTTTTCTCATTAAAACTTCGTAAGTTGCCCTGTAGAGTAAACTGTCCCAAAACCACAAGATGTAATGAGACAATAAGACGTGAACAAGGATAAATGATGAAATAACACCACACGCATAGAATAGCCCCACCAGAATCCTAATCCAATTTTAGGTCAGTGTGGTTGGCCACTCCGTACTTTATTATACGCGAGTCTTTAAAGCAAGCATTGACAAAGTGGTGGCCGTGGGGCCTCCCGGGCTATTTTCATGATGCTCAATCCTCTCCTCTTCTTTTACTAGAAATAAGAGCTGAATTGCATTTTCTGGAAAGATCTTTATATAGCTCAGTGGGTTCCCAGTAACTGTTTAATACACCCACATACCAATTTTTCAGAAGTAGAAATGGTCTTAGAACTATATTTAGTTCGTTCGTTCGTTCGTTTGTTCGTTCGTTCGTTCGTTCGTTCGTTCGTTCGTTCGTTCCTTCCTTCCTTCCTTCCTTCCTTCCTTCCTTCCTTCCTTCCTTCCTTCCATTCTGATGGCCTACACAGCCTCCAGACCTGACTGGATAGCTCTGTGCTTTAGGTCTGAGGTTGGGGGTTCGATTCCCTGCTGTGTGCCTTTTGTGACTACAGCCAGCCTGGGTAGCTTTGGGCAAGCTGCACAGTCCCAGGGCTGCCCCCAGAAGAAGGGAATGAGGAACCACTTCTGTGTATTTTCGTGTGCATTCAGCCTGGAAAACCTGGGGGAAAAAAGCATCACTACAAGTTAGAACTGACTTGATGACACATGAGTATTATTATCTAGCCTCCAGGATGCTCCAGAGCAAAGAAATCCATCTCTAGAGCCATCAATTCTGTTTCAGAGTCTACCCGAATACCTTTAAAGATGAGACTTGGGGCACAGAACCAATGCCAGCACCCAGCTGGGTAGTTATGCTGGCAGGGTGGGAATGACATTGGAACAACCTACCTCCTGAGATTCGCATGGCTCCCTCGCTGGGCATCTTTAAAAATCAATTAAAAACATGGATGTTTCGGCAGGCCTTCCCATCAGATAATTCCTGATGCCCTTTCTTTCCCTCTCCTTTTGTTTTTCCCATCTTGTTTAATGCTTCTGTTATGTGAAAATTGTTTTATATATATTTATTGCACTATTTTATGTTGTTAGCCGCCTAGAGTGGTCCTAATCCGACCAGATAGGCGGGATATAAATAAAATAAAATAAATAAAATAAATACTGTATTTTTCGCTCCATAAGACGCACCTCTCCATAAGACGCACCAAATTTTTAGGAGAAGAAAACAGGGAAAAATAATCTGTTTTCTTCACTCCATAAGACACAGACTTTCCACCCCCCTGTTTTGTGGAAAAAAGTGCGTCTTATAGTGCGAAAAATAATAGATAAGGCAGATTGTCTTATCCCTGCTTCCGTTTCAAGGTGATCCAACCTCATATGCAATGAGATGCAATGGGTGTATTAAAAGTTCCTGAGAGACACAGTGAGCTATTCAAAAGCTTTCCAGGAACTGGTACAATATTTATGCCATCTGATTCCTCTTCCTGTAAGCTGCCAGTCTTCAAGGGGATGTGTTCAGTGCCAATCAACGTTTCGAAGACATATTCCAGCTAGGCAGCCCCATGTAGCATGCAGTGCAGTAGTCTTGCTTGAATGTCACTAGACTATGGTTAACTGAAGTCCCTCGTTGCTTAACATGGTCACAACTAGTACACCCACCTAAATTGGAAAAACGTACTTCTGGACCACTTCATTTCCCATAAAAACTGCGCAAATCTCCAGTCAACTGGAGTTCAAGAGAGTGGCCCAACTGCTGGAATATTCCTACCACATCACTATATTTATGTAAGGAGTGTGTGTTGTCAGTCTTTGGATAATTCTCTCTACCTGTGCCCTATTGACAGGCCAAAGAGCGGAGCCAAAAATATGACAATAACCTCCCCTTCCTGCTCTGTGCCAGAGAGAAAGGAAGAGATGCTCCTTCTTTTACAAAACTCTAGCAGAACGAGAGAGAGCTACAACACACAAAAACCTTCTTAAAAGGTCTGGGGATATTTTGCAAAAAATATCCAAGGGATTTAGAAGTACAAGTCAGCCTTTCTTCTCCAAAGCACCTAAGGGATTAGCAGAATCTCAACTAATGCTCTTTTCATGCTGCCCGCATTATCACCGTTTAATTCTTATGAGCGTGAATATGAATCTTGTCCTTTGCATTATAAAAGTCTTTCCGGGAAAAGGGCTAAACACAATTTCAATGCCTTTTATCCACGTTGCGCATAGCCTTCCAGGTGTCTAACATTGTCACGTCTTCCCCCCTAGAAAAGTCGTCAAGAGTTTTATTCGGTGACAATGCTAACTAGAGATGGGCATGAATTATGAAATGAATTAAAATTGGTTGTTGTGGGGTTTTTCGGGCTCTTTGGCCCTGTTCTGAAGGTTGTTCTTCCTAACATTTCGCCCGTCTCTGTGACCGGCATCTTCAGAGGACAGGAGTAGCACTCTAGCTGGAGTAAAAATTCATTACTATTGCCAATTTGTTGATCGATATTCATATTCGTATTCCTCCCCGATGAATCCTAATCAATTATGCTTTGGTGATTTTTGACTCATTTGATTCTTTAGGCTAGAAAACTGCCCTCCCTGGGCACCTAGAAACACCCAAATTGCAGAGAAGTGTCTTCTGACTCTCCTTTTTAAGGAGAAAGGGAGGATAAAAACATTTTAAATAAATAAATAACCCTGGGATCTTTCAGGGCCTGTGATGAGAAACCACGGGGCTACATTCTGCTGCTGTTTATGAGGACCCATTGGGATTACGGTGGGTCCTTATAAACCAAGGTGGCAACATCCTACCATATCATGATAGTAGCCATCATATTCCCTCCCTCTAAAGTCCTAGGAGGAAGTAGAACCTGAGTTATTCTGGAGTTCACAATATGGTAGATGGGACATTAACAATACGGTGGTTAACACCGTGGAGTGAACAATGCAGCATTAACAACAACATGGAGTTCTTTCATTATTTATATCAGAGCATGGCTCAATTTACAGGACTTTTATAGGTAAAATTTAAAAAAAAACAAATTAAAATGTGAAGATAATTAGACTATTTTAATAGCATTATCTCAACCATTTTGCTGTACCTTCTTTTGCCACACATGGTGTGGCATAAACAGCATGCATGGAAGTGCTGCGTTGACTGGATTTCTCCACAGTCACAGAAAATTTGTCCTGTATCCAAATAGCCCCATTTTACGTGCTTATTCTTGGATCTTCTTACTTTACTTTGAAGTCTATGAAGGGACTTCCAGAGGGTCCAGTAGAGTCTGGTCTCGATGGGAGACACTCTTCAGCATTTGTCCGTTCGGCGAGCTGTGTTGTTCTTGCTCTCCACAGGTCGGATCCAGCCTCTTCCGGTTTGATATTTAGAGCTTGAGAGGTGTACAGGAAGTTTTCCCTCAATTTTAGCCATCACCTAGGGGGCTAGTGTCTTTGAAAGGGATGGGTTTGGTGCTGGGCCACCTTATGATGTTCATTTTTTGCTAACCCCTCTCAATGTCTGTCTGGAGGGGCAATGCATTGAGTTAAATATGGTGATGAGTGACATTGCCAACAGCTCTGCTCTCTGTGAAAAAATTAACGTTAGCAGCATCAGGAACTAGGGTATTGTGAGATATTTTTTGCAGCCTGACATAAAGGACAAAATGGTTCCCCTCTCCATTCCATGTTCAGAGTTGCACCTCGACTTTCCACTGGCTTTCCTTGGAATCCTGGTGAGGGGAGAACATCCTTTCCCATTCTGACCCATATCCTTTCCCATACTGATGGATCCTGGGCAAGTTATTGGATCTGCAGAGCCCTGTATGCTCAGCAGAGGAGTCCCAACTGGGAGGCTTCTGAATGGCCAGCCAGTTCTGACATGGTGTGTCGTGCAAAAAAGGAGTCAGGAAAGTTGCTTTGTTGAACTCCCAGAATCACCAAGACAGAGGGCCAGCAAAAGCAAGATAAAGCCGTGCAAAATATGTACTTTGTTTTTTAGTCTATCATCCTTCAACCATGGTTCCCAACCTTGGGTCCCCAGATATTCTTGGACTCAAACTCCCATAAGCCTTCACCTCCAGCTGTGTTGGCCAGGATTTCTGGGAGTTGTAGTCCAAGAACATTTGGGGACCCAAGGTTGGGGACCAACAACCTAGAATATTAAAAACATATATAAAGATTTGGATATAAGCAAGTTACCCAATTTCCTCTCCCCACCCATTTCTTCTTGTTCTCCCTATGCAGGGGTTCCGGGGAAAAGGACAGAAACTTTCTATGACTGTTGCAAGGAGCCTTATCCTGATGTGACTTTTACGGTGACCATGCGGCGGAGAACGTTGTATTACGGGCTGAACCTTCTTATTCCCTGTGTGCTGATCTCAGCTCTTGCCCTCCTTGTGTTCCTGCTCCCAGCCGACTCTGGGGAGAAGATTTCACTTGGTAAGCCTAACATTCCAAACGGGTCAAACATGAGAACGGTTGGATTGCTCAGTGCATTAAGTAGAGCTGGCTGTGCAGCCAGAGATTGGGGGTTCCATTCCCCACTGGGCCTCCTTGATAGGGACTGGACTCAAGGATCCATAGGGTCCTTTCTGGTTCTGCAGTTTTGAGATGATGATGTAATCTAGCTGATGGTTGTTTTAGGAAGTCAACACAGCCAAAGTGGGTATCCTTGTCAAGGTAAGATGTATGCCACCTGGATGAATAAAGTTAAAATTTTAATGGTATAAAGTCCTCTTCCTTCCTTCCTTCCTTCCTTCCTTCCTTCCTTCTATCATGATCAGCTCCTTCCTTCCTTCCTTCCTTCCTTCCTTCCAGATCAGCTCCTTCCTTCTATTCATGATCAGCTCCTTCCTTCTATTCAAGACTCAAGGATCCATAGGGTCCTTTCTGATTCTGCAGTTCTGAGATGATGATTTAATCTAGCTGATGATTGTTTTAGGAAGTCAACACAGCCGAAGTGGGTATCCTTGTCAAGGTTAGATGTATGCCGCCTGGATGAATAAAGTTAAATTTTTAATGGTATAAAGTCCTCTTCCTTCCTTCCTTCCTTCCTTCCTTCCTTCCTTCCTTCCTTCCTTCCTTCCATTCATGATCAGCTCCTTCCTTCCTTCCTTCCTTCCTTCCTTCCTTCCTTCCTTCGTATCAGAATGTTGTCCAATTATGGACATATACAAAATGTAGATAAAATTAAAAACAAATTAAAATGTTAATATCATTAGATTATTTTTGGCCATTTTTGTATTGTGCAGTCACAGACCAGACTGAAGTCCTCTTTCACAGTTGATTTGGATGTAATCCAGATAGGCTATATTGTGCAGCCACAGACCAGACTGAAGTCCTCTTTCACAATTGATTTGGATGTAATCCAGATAGGCTATTTCTGGCTTTAAGCATTATGTGAAACAGAACGAGAACGGAGACATCTCAGTTTAAACATGCCTTTGGTACTCCCAACTACAACAATGGGGTGTGCCTATGTTTCAACCCAAATATGGAACCATTAAATTTTTTTAATTACAATCCCAGCCCACTGGGAATATTCTCAAGTAAGGTTACGAAACTCTGGTTTTTGACTCCCCAATTAAGTCGATCGATCTAATTAAGTTGAGCCAGTCTACTGGCTTTGGCCCTTGTGGCATGCCTTTTGACTTCTTCATGTGACGATGCTAATATAAGTCAATGATACTGTTGTCACGTTGCTGGTGAGCAGCTCACAATGAGGGAGAACAGCTTAAATAAGATTTCTAGGGAGTCCCAGAGCACAGTTTATTGGTCCACAGGGTTCAAACTGGGCATTTTCTCAATCATAAATTGCACTGGAGTCCTTTATAGGCTTACCCAGAATGAGTCGTATCCATCACAAGGGAATATGCTCTTTGAAGAGCGGTCACAAGATTGTCACTGCAGTCAGGCATCTGAGGATGTGAGCTGCACTTCATGCAGTTCGAGATCAAGTAAAACTTGTTAGTCCTTCAGGTGCCACTAGATTCTTGGTTGCTGTTTTAACTAAAACAGGCCAACACAGCTTCCTCTCACCTGGAAACTATGCCAAGGTATTGACCCCACCAGAACGGGCCCCGTAGACTGCTATGCAACATCCATAGACTGCTATGCAACATCCAGGTCTCGTAGACTGGATGCTGCTATGCAACATCCAGGTCTCAGTGCTGCAGCAAATCCCTTATACCCCCCAAAGTTCTCCACTGTTTCTTAGTAATGAAACATGTGCCAAGTTTCTAAGCTCCATGTGGGCGAGCAGGCAATGATTTCTGAAAAGGCTCAGCTGCAAAAGGCAGTGCAGTTCAGCGCTCCAGCTTGGCGCCGTTCTCGGGGTAAGGATGAGCCATACGAAATGAAGTGCCTGAGGTCACCGATGACAATCCTGCAAAAAAGGAAAGAAAAATACAATAAAAAAAATTGGATGCATGGATCCTTGGGCTCCTTCCAAGTCAACACAGCGGAAAGGATAACAGCCTTTTCCTTTGTTCTGTTGTTTTAAACTGCAGGGAGGGGATCTTGAGGATGCCTGCTAAATATTTCATAGTTTGCCACCATACAGTGCCAACACAGAGGGGAAAAAGTAAAAAATAAATAAAAATAAAGCACAGCCTCTCCCCCACCTTAAATATTTGGTCTTCAGCCTATTCAATCAACTCCTCATCCAACCAACTTCAGGAAAACTCTTTATATGCACTGGAAATTCATCTTCATGGAAACAGAGAAAGTGGTCTTGTACTCAGTGAGACACTTAGCCCATGTAGGCCAGTATTGCCAGCTCTGACTGGCAGTGATGGCTTTCTAGAGTTCTGGGCAAAATTCTTTCCTGGCCCCATCTGGGGGTGCTAATGATTTAACCTGGGACCTCCTGTATCCAAAGCCCCTGTTCTATCACGCAACAAACAGCCCTTCACCGCCCGTCACCTTAACCTCAGCCTATTCAACCAACTCCTTGTCCTCAAGAGCAGCGCCAGAAGGTCTTGGCCTTCTTTCATGTGACAGTCCTGAAAGGATCTAGAGAAGGCTGCTACATCCTCGCCTCCTTGCTGGTTCTCTCCTCTCTCCAAGTTCATGTACCCCCTTTGAAAAATCTCTCTTGCCCTTTTTGTGTACCTGTTTCATAGAACTGTAGAATCATAGCATAACTGAGTTGGAAGGAATCCATAAGAGCAGCACATCCAACTCCCTGCTCAAGGCAGGGATCCAGATCAAAGCAGATCTGACAGATGGACGTGTCTAACTTTCTCTTGAAGGCCTCCAGCGCTGGAGCGCTCGCCACCTGCCGAGATCATGGTTTCCATCATCATACTGCTCGAACAGTTAAGAACTTTATCTTGATCTTCAGCCTAAATCTGGCTTCCTGAAGCTTGGAGCCCATTCTTATGTGTCCTGCACTCTGGGACGATCGAGAACAGATCCTG